GCTCGTTTCCAAAACGTATATGTTTCCTAAATTTTTTTAAAAACTCATTTTTACATTTCCAAACATTTCGTTTCCACGCAACCTAGTCTTATACTAACCCAATATATGGTTTGATTTGTTGTGTCAATTTTGATAGGCCCTTTGGGGTTTTCTTAATTTGAAAGTTTCGGCACCAGTTAGCCTCGTCCATATTCACCAAAACTTGCAATTCTTAAGAGTACATCGAAATAAACAGTGACATATATTATTAAAATAGAACTGGAGACTGATCTCAAAATGTTACAAAAAACTGTCTGAACGGGGGAAAAAAAAACTGTCAAGTGTCTTCTTGATTCTCCATCTTCCCTTGTGTTATCTGCAAACATGCAGCCAAACCAAACTTCAGAAGACCGGTTCCCAAATTACAAGGACATTGAAAGAAAGTTAACTTTAACTAAGCAATTCACATTGATCTCTAACCAACACCATTCAAATTTCATCTATTATTCATCATCTACCCTTAACATGCCAAATGCAATGTCTGCGACTGAATCACAAGTCTATCAGCAGATCAGAATGAACCTCACAGATTACAAAGCCAAAAAAACTATTTATTTTCACCACCGAGTATTATAGGAACAAACTTAGCTGTATTACCAATATACTTTAATTGAACCAAACCAACAGTTGCAGGGGTTAGAAAAAGCCTGGACAAGTACAAGTTAGTGCGTGCTATAATACATAAACTTCTACTTCAATTCAATGGGTGTTGGAGGATGAATATTAGATGTGCAAATGCAAATTACTAATTTAGTATCTACAACAAGAAAATCTCCAAGGAGCACACAGACACACCAGGTTTCAGGTGCTTATATGTGATCAAAGCAACCTACTTGGGCTTGTAAGAGTTGTTGATTATGGAGCAGACCAGTATTGATCCATGATAATCGATTTAGTAATATACATGCACCCATACGAAGCAGATGTTCCAAGAGAAGAAAGAGAATTTACCTAGGTGGCCCCGACGATGATGTTGTTGATCGGAATAAAGATGAGCTTGACGAAGAAGCCCACGAATCCCATCACTACGAACCCGATGGCTGTACGGACCGCCACTTTCGTGAATTCTACAACCAAAACCAACACACACACAATACCAAATTCAAACACGGATCTCTCCATTCAAAGTCAAACAAAGCACACAGATCTGAGATCTTCCCAATCGGGGAAATGATAAAACGATAGATCCAGCATATCTATCGACGAAAACATACAGATCGGTCAACATAACTATCTGAAGACACGAATCTCAGACTCAAAAATCTATTGGACCGATCTCGTTGAATCCATGGAGTTAGAAGGAAGTTAATACCTTTGCGATCTGGCTTGTGACAACGCTTAACGAGGCGAATGCTATCCTTGGCAAAGTCTCTAAGAGGATCGACGACGGAATCGATGGCGTCCATGGCGAGTTTATCTCTGTGTTTCTAAACGAATTGGGAATCGTGAGAGGAAGGGGACGAGAAGCTCAATAAATAGAGAGAGAAAGAGAGTAAGCGTCACATTGATTTTGAAGAGCCAATCAGAGATCGAGCTACAATGAAGCTATGCCATGTCAGCAAAGTCAAATCTATTTGGCACAAACCTACTAAAACGATAATTGTAGCTTTTTGTTATTACCATGGGGAAAATTCCCAAAAACAGACCCAAACTTAGTTGTATTTGCTGAAAAAATACCATAATTTTTTTGGCTATCCGATAAATACACCAACTATTTAAAATTGTTTTTTATATACTCGAACTTTTAAAATGGGTTGGTTTCACTATCTCGACATTAACGGTGTCAATCCGACTAACGGAAGTTACTATTTGCTACAGTACCTTCTTCTCCAAATCGATTTTGGGATTTAAGAACCCTAAAACCGCAAATTGATTTTGGATTTCAATTTAAATTCCCTTAAATTTTTGTTTGTGAAATGATATTTAAATTTTTTGAATAGATACTGTCGAAAGTGAGATGATAACAATCTAAAGAAGTTTGCAGGAATATATTCTCCTTTAGTTTCATAAAAGGCAAAGTCCATAGATTCAAACTTGGTCGCAGGAAGCATATACAACTGAAATCCAAAATTAATTTGGGATTTTAGGGTCTTTAAATCCCAAAATCAATTTGGGGAAGAAGAAGGTATTGTAGCAAACAGTAACTTTCGTTAGTCAGATTGATACCGTTAATGTCGAAGTAGTAAAACCAACCCATTTTAAAAGTTCGAATATATAAAGAACAATTTTAAATAATTGGTGTATTTATCGAGTAGCCAAAAAGGTTTGGGTATTTTTTCAGCAAATGCAACTATGTTCGGGTGTTTTTTGGGAATTTTCCCTATTACCATGATAGGTTTATTTTTGATGAATGTGAAATATAGGCTCTTTTTGCAAGAAATTAGAAATTTTAGGGCCCTTAAATGTTAAAGAAAATCAGTTAAAACATGTGGGGCTCTGCACAGACAGCACATGCCAAATGTCGGCCCTGATAATATTTCCAGCATCTCTTGAGAGGATCGGCTTACAAGATAGGTGTTGGGTGAAGTTTTCCTTCCAAAGATGGTTCGAGAGATTTATGGTTTCTTTTAAGGTGGTAGCGTAGAGGTTTCGATCAATAGGCGCCAACATTTTGATGAAGTTCGGCGGCAGAGATGTGGTAGATCGTGGATCGATCGACATCGTTTGTGGCTCTTTATTTTCTTTTCCTTATCCACTAGTGCGTGGGATAAACTGATTTTTCATTTTATTAAAGATTGTAAATGGTGAGTGATGAGTTTTTTTAATCATCATATGTATTTCTCTTACTAGGTTTTTTTTATTTCTCACTAAAAACATGGCCGATAAAAAAAAGGATTTGAACACTCGTGAATTTGAAATACAGTTTTGATGGATAATTGATCTATCACACTGCAAGTTTTGACAGTTATCTTTCTCTTCTCGATTTAGAAATTAGAGATGAACTCAGAAGATGAAGTAACTCATAAGTGAAGAGATCGAATTTTAGGGGTGTTACCGTGCTAGTCATTTTCTCCCTTGTCTTTTTCTGTAGATGTTTTCGTTTCTTCGATGACCCTAATAGTATATATTGAATTAAGGTTTCAATGGATTGGTATAGACATCTCCCTTTTGATTTTTACATGTTATTTTCCATATTAAGCATGAATTTTAGAATTACTTCCTGTTTAATTGGAATAGTTTGTGATGGTTTTTGTTTCAAATTTTTTCCATTCTCTAAAATTTGGTTTTTCTTTGGATTTTTTTAGAGATGAAAAACAAAGATGTTGAAA